TCTAGAGAAACTCGAGAAGTCTTTGCTCTACATTGGATTTTCAAAGTTAGGTGGCCTGGAACGTTAATATTTTTTTGCTTTACGTGTTGTAGTTTCAAAGATGAACTTGGCATTATCACAGGCTAAAATTGAGTTTCGCAACCTTACCCAAATCCCTACTGTTTCCCTTTCTACGGCAAGAAATTTCCCCCACAGGTCCAAGTAGCTAGTTAACTCTTACTCAGAAAAAAATCTGAGACCAAATCATCTCTATCCTGTTGTTATGAATAAATAGTCAAAGGCCGACTGTAAGTTGCTGGAAACCTGAAGGACTAAGGGAAATTATTGCAGTAGCCTGGATGAACAGTCAGGAGTAGTTGGCTTCTGCAGCATGTTCTATCTCCATCCTCCCGTGTTTAATTATTGTCAAATTCAAAAATATAAAGGAGTATTTCCCACCCGATAAAAAAAAAATCAAAACTGGCATCAAATTTTAAAATTTTAGAAGAATTTATAAAAACATGGGATAACCTCTCTTTGGCGAGTTTTCCCTGGGCCTGATAGGTGCTTAGCCTTTTTCAATCTCTAACTACTGTACTTAGTTTCAGAGTGGAAGCACTACTCTTTTCAAAAGCTTGCTTCAGTTATTCCTATAGGTAGAGCAATATTGACTCAGTCTCTACAGGAAAATGGCCAACATGACTGACTTTGGACAATATAATTAAGAATAAAGGATTTTATGAAAAGCCAAAGTAGGGCTATGTATGACATGTCTACATTTTTTTCATTTAAAATCTTAAATGTTACAATCAAAGTTATAAGAAAAAAAAATAACAAAATCATCTTTATATTGCAAAGAGTATATTTTTATTTAGTAGATTTGTTCTTGTACTTAATATAAAATGATGTAGCTAAATGTCAGTTTTTAAAACAGAATCAGTACAATTCACTCACTCCATTTCAGTTAATACCTTCCTGTAAAAAATAAGAACCAAATCTAGTAAAATTTGAAAGAAATTCTGAACTGATTTCTCTGGCACATTAGCCTCATAAGAGGCAGTAAAAACACATACTTGTTTAAAAGCATTTTCCTGCCTATTGCTATAAGCCACAGAGACAGCCAGTTGGATATTTAAGAAAAGGGCAGGAGGTCTCCAGTTCCTAATGTTTCACTTTTTCACTGCACTGCCTGATCGTTTAAGGAAGATGCTTGTTCCAGACAGTTTTAATTAAACTATGCTGTGAAACTGTATATAGATCAATGGAAATGATCCATAACAACAGGCTAATCATGTATTTAACAGTGTTCAGTCCCGTTCAATCACCTTCTACCATATCTGTGGCTTCACATTCATGTGGCAGGGCCTTGAATGTGTACGTGTATTTTTTAATCCATTCCATTAGTGGCCATATGCTTTGGCTTCAAGGGAGACAAGAACTGTCTGCAATCTGCCAGGGATTTAGGGACATCAATAATTTGTGAATAGTCATGTTGGTCCTGGTCGAAGGGTTAAGTGCTCTGCACACCAGGGGCACATCTTTGGGGACTGGGACTCTGAGTCAACTGTTAGGAACCAGATCCCCTGTGACGCATCTTTTCCAGGAACACGCTGCATGTCACATCCGTGCAGCTGAAGCAGTGGGGAGCTTTATTAGCTCAGGGATTTAAAGACCTTCGCTAAGAGATACAACAATATCTTTTGGTTAAAAAATGAAGGAACGATAGTAGTTGTAATATCAAAATGTTTTTTTTTTTATGTACTAGGCTAAATATGATCTTTCTTTTTGTTACCATTTTCCTTTTCACTATGATTATTAGATTACTCTCCACCTGCAAATAGCCAGTGGAACAGGGTATGTCAGCAATAACAAGGGCCTGATTTTGCCAGCATGCAGGTGTGTTGTGTGGCCTCACACAGGTACGGAGACCCTACTGAAGTCAGTGAAAACCTAGGTGTAATAAACGTTTCCTTAATCATTTTCAGTGACCCTGTAAGAGCTTCCAGGACATTGTTCTATCTACTAAGCATGAAAAGCACCATTAGGAATAATAGCTTCTGATTTTAAATTGTGACCTGTTCTATGGAAGGACTCTCAGGTCAGTGTGAAGGATCGCTGTACTATTGATCTCATTATTACCATGTTCTGAAAAGGGAATGGCAGGAATAAATAATATTGCCAGAAGTTTTAGTGAGAGAGGGAAAGGCTTTTAGTAGTTTTCGTTCATTCTAGGCTGCCATTCTCTTCATCTCCACATGCTTCCCTCTGCTGTGCCAAGCTAAAGAGAAGAAAATCATAGCAGTGGAGATGGACACTCCATATACAACCTATGCCACGTGCCTACGAAACCTCTCTGGCGGGGAGCAGAGCTCTCCATCCTACCTCTCCACCCTATGAAGCTTCCCTGCTTTCGGCAAATTTCAGATAGTAATAATAATTAATGATGACAGACATGAGAAATGAAAGCACACCCCAAACAGACTGCTTGTTTGCGGCGCACTACTCAGCTCTTTGTGTTTGTGCTTTAAGGAATATTCTGTATGAGGGCACATTAAATGATTTTAAGAGTGGTCCCAATCCCATGTGACTCCTGTTAAGGTCCGTCCAGGAAGCAATCTCACTGTGCCCCCACCTCCGTCCTTTGCACGTCGGATCAGATGGAAGATCAACTCTTAGAGTATTTGTATTTGGAATCTTAACCATATTTAAACAAAGAAATACTTCAAAAAAATCCTACTGCTGACTCAGACTCTTGTTTATCTAAAAACATAATTTGCAGAAGCAAAAAAAAAATGTTATATCTTTATTAGTGTCACATAGTCAAACATGGGCAATTAGCAGTGGAGGACTAACTCACATTTTATTTATAAAAGGTAAAGGATATGGCTGTCAATTTTTGCACTGTATCAGCTGTGATTACACAGTCTGACACAGATTTACTAATTGTGCATTGTCTTCTGTGATATCTTGGAGTGCAATTTTAGTTTTCTAGATAATCTGGTCTCCTTTTTTGAGATGAAATGTGAATGAGCAGTCTCTTCTCCGCAAGTTCTATAATGTATAAAGATGTAGATCTAAAGCAGAATGTTTTCATATAAAGCTATTTGATTTACATGTATAATAAAACATTTAGAGGTGTATGCCCCAGATTTCCATCCATATTTCAGTTACATTTGTAGGCTTTGCTGTGGCAGTTTGTACTTGCAGTTGGAAAGGTGGTGGTCTTCTACAAAGGGGGCTCTTTCTGCCTGTCAGGTCTAGCAAGGAATGCTCAGATGTAAAGATTTATGGCCATTTTGCCCATCTCAAAAAGCAAAAGAATGCAGTTTAATTTCCAGATAGCCTTATTTTCAAATTTTCCTTTGAAAATAATGCCTGGTTTTATTATTATGATTTAGCACCGTTTCATAGCTTTTAAGTCTGTGAAAAAGTTAAAGATAGAGATTTTCACAGTTTCTAATAGAAAATGGAATGCAGTTTTAATTGGGTGTAATTGGTGGTTTTTGAGGTGAAATGGTCTTACCCACTTCCACCTACTGCCTTCTGAGCCAGCATAACTGTGAAATTCCCTGAAACCAAAGCTGAGAGTGAAAATATTAGCTGAGGCTTCGTTAGTCACTGCTGAATATCCGAGCTGCATAGACAGGGTTGCTTATTACCCAGAACATGAAGTCCTCTGACCTCGGAGGTGACTATTGATCTTAGGCTCACCTCTGTCTGTTCTCATCCCTCACGTCAGTGATGTTAATACAAAACAGCAGAATTTCAGGAGACTGCTACTGTCTTTGCAATGTTTCATAGGTAACATTTCCATTCCTACATGAATTCCTGCTCCTGCTGGGGAGTAACAACAGAACAGTGCTAGCCTCTGTAAATACAATAGCAAATTTCCTCTTTTATCTATACGAGATAACACTTTGCCTGAACTGCATATTCACAGTTTCACAGGCAAGGAGGGAAAAAAAAATCTTTGACACTTTTCAAGTTCTGCCCTCTTTACACCCGCTCTAGCCAAGAATGCTTAGTGTTATAAAGCATTGCTATCATCACAGAAGCTACAGACAGAAATAACTTATCAAAACCAAAATCACGCAGCCCATTTCCCATCATTAGGAAAGTCTCTTTTGCAGGATTATTTGGAGACCTTTCTTCAGTCTTCTCTAAACAGTTTCTTTGTGAATTTCCAGCATGTCCATTGGGATTGTGACATGTCCAGGAATATTTTGGTGCTCATTTTAAATTTTCAGTTCTTTAGTTTTCTTCCATTATTCTCCCAGTTAGATCTTCTCCACTACCAATTCTCTTCCCATAATGGACTTGAAATTTGTAAACTTCTGTCTTATAATAGCCCCTTTAGAGCCATCAGTGACTACATTGCATGTATTTTGTAGCTTGATTCTCTTTGTAAATCTAGATCTGCAGTCATGTACGTTGCTGTCCCTGGACTCCCTCCATTGTATCTTCAATGCAGCATGTTTCCCCTGATTGCAAATGGAAATCATGTTCACAATGTTTTTTTAAAATATCCCATTTTAACTTTGGTACATTGATGTATCTCAGTGAGACCTGAGCACAGGTTTTCACTTGTAGACAGTTATGTGCAGCTAAAGCATCCAAATATCAAAGATTACAAAGAACTGAATTTCAACTGGTATTTATTATCCTTACTAAGGATCAATACCAGGTGTATCAGCAGCATTAATCCTTATCTATCTTTGCTACCTGCCTTCCATCTTTACAGACAGTTTGTGTTTCTGTGGTAAGAAATGGGCCACTCACTCAAGGGTGAGCAACGTGCTCTTAAAGAGCAACATGTGAAGTTGGTCCCAGGTTGGCTGGTTAGGAGGTGGGAGCTGGTGCTGATTCCTTCTGTATAAACTAATAATAATAATACTAATATAAATTACTTGTGACTCCATACTACTTTTCAAAAACATACTTGGAGATGGCACAATTCTCACCGAGAAAATGACATTCAGTGAGGCAAAGGGGATTCATGAATTGTTTTGTTTCTATTTCAGGACTGCAAGAATATCTTGAACAACATTTGGGCAAGAAGACGCCAGCTCTGATTTTAGTACCTGTGGTGGATTTACCTGGAAAGGAAGTCATGCATATAACATCCTGGCTGAGCTAACAGTTTAAAAGAAATAAATTACTATCAAAACACAAATTCCATCCAGCAGAGGGCAAAGAAAATAATTGATCATGGCTGTGCTTTATGTTATCATTAAGCAACATTGTTGGAATTAAGCAAAGTCGTTTTTAGCTTGTTAATGATGCCTTATGATATGTGACCAAGTCAACCTTGTACGAATAAAGGTGTTTTTAATATTATGCTTTTTTCTCCCTTATTTTTAGATACTTTATGGTAATATCAGGTGTCCTTGGGAGATGGCAATTGCTCTGATCCCATCGGGTTTCTGTTTGATGTATTTAGGTCTGGTGACGTTAATCTTTTGATCTTCTGATCAAAACTTCTGTAACTTCTGATCTTTCGGATGGAGGTGAAATCTTTGGCTCCGATACTGTTTTAAAGACTTGTTTGCTCTCACCTTGATAGCGAATTTTCTGGCTTCAGACCAACTCCTGAAAGCCTCAATTGTTGCAGGACTTTACCTTTTTTTTTTTTTTTCCTTTTGCACCGGGAAATACTTTTTCGCAGGAGTGTGGAAGATACGCACTTTAGCAAAGTGAATAATTGAGATGATGGCCAGGATTTGCCATGTTGCTTTCAGTTGCAACAGTGAGTATGCTCAAGCTTTATATCTGGCAGAGAACTCTTATTTTGGAGCTAGCAGGATCCCCTGGAGCTTTGGTCTTCCCTGGAAAATCAACGAAAGTTTTACCACTGTTTTCATTAAAGCAGGCTCAGAGACATAGGTGGAACCTCCATTGACTACACTGCAACTGGTAAATTACTCATAACGTGGTAGAGTCTGAGGACAGGAAAGAGTCATGGACGTAGCTTGAGGCAGTAAGGCAGCAGTGTCGAGAAATCTCATTTTCAGGCAAAGGCTGTAAAATTAAACCTTGGAGAAAGAGTATCAAACTTATGCCTATGTTCTATATCTGTATATTCTCTTCGGTTCTTTTTCAGTGTGTGAGCATTGGAGCTACATAACCAGTACTCCAGCTGGCCCTCTCTTATGCCAGCATATATCTGAATTAACTCCACAAAAGTCAGCAGGATGACAGCAAGTTTACATTGGGGTGGCTGAGAGGTGAATTTAGCACTACAGCTTCATTTTCTTCACCACTACCAGATATGCATTTGGCAACTGATACAAAACCAGCAACTAAAGACATGAGGATCTTCCTCTACTAGATGCTTTGCGTGTCCAGGATGTTATGCTGAATATGCTGATTATTACCTGAAAATCAGACTGCCTAATGCCACTGTTCCTTGCCTTTACATCAAAGGATGTTGCAGAGCTACCACCCGTTTTAGTGACATTTTTATTTGTCATAGTTATATAAATATTTTCAGAAGAAGGGAGAAGGCACAGAACTTCTTATATAACAGTGTATAAATACATGGATAAATTAAATCATTTTAAGAAAAAAAGAAAATTTGTTAACAGTACATTAGCATATTAACCTTCAATGTCATTTTTAGTTTAGACTTCACACATCTGATCATAATTCTTTCCCATGATCAAAATATTTTCTAGATAGAAAAAAAAATGCTTTTCTTTCCTTGAGACAACGGGAATTCCAACAGGTTTACGTGGTGAACATCTGACTTCTCCTCGAAAGGCTTCATAGGGCCTAAAAATTGTGTGAGTAACTAAGCCTAGAAGCGGGGTTTGCTGAGTTTTAAGTATGAGTGTGGCAATTTGTTCAACATTGAGATGCCAGGTAGATGAGTAATGTGCTGTTCCATAGAGAGAGCTAATGACTTTTATAACAGAAGAAATGTCTTAACACCTTTTTATCTACTTTATGCTACAATACTTTCATCCTAATTGCGAGGTCCTGCTATGAATAAGTTGTTTCACCGAGCTCTTTTTCAGTTTCTTTGTAACGAAAGCGCTACCTGAAGAGGGGAGAAGGAAAGATGGGCACACAAACACGCGTATGTGTTTTATGGAAAGAAGGGAAAACGGGTGATATTTAAAATCAGCTAATATGTGTTGGGTTTTTTGGTACGTCGACCTAGGTCGGCCTAGGTGCTGAGTGTTTACCTAGGCAAGTGCTAATCTTTGGAGTGTTAATTCATATCCTCTGGTAAGGTATTGGTTTTGAGAAAATGAAAATACAAGTTCTTTTGTTTTTTTGATCTTTGCTAAGCCTGCAGGGAAATGTGTTGTGTGTGCATTATGACACAGAAATCGTGTTCATCTAGGTTCCAGCACCCAAAATACAGCAAAGCTATGTAAAAATGTCTTTTAAAATGTAAACCAGGGTTTTGATTTCTCCTTTCTCTGCTGTAACAAGTGTTGGAATGTGGCTTTTGTGTCCTTTTTTTATCCAAAAGAATCTATTTTTTTATAGATCCCTCTGTCAGTGAAATTATGTCTTTTGCCTCCTTTAAAAATCTCCATATATCATGTTTTTTTAATTGCTTGAAAGCTTGTTATAGTGATCTGCAAGGCAAAAACTGATTTAATAACTTTGTGTTTTGCTCATTTCAAAACCCGGTAATGGCTACAGTACTAGTGAGCTTTGGCAATGCACATGGCTAAGCTGCCATAAAGCCACCAGAGCTCATCATCCTAAATAGGTTTAAAAATGACATTGAGATATTTTAAGCAGACATTATTTTTTTTTTCCTTGCAAGTTTTATAGTTAGGCGATTCGGGAGCTGATTTGTTACACCGGGTAGCTTTGGTGCATCTTCCCTCTTAGCTTTCAGAAATGCAGCAGGCGCTGGAAGCAGAAGGTCTCCTGAGTATTAAAGAGGTGATGTGAAGCAGCTCTTCTCCTTCAAGGACATTCTGCTCAATCCATTATCTCCCATCTATGTGCAGTAGTCTAGTCTATCAAAATACAGTGATTGAATAAAACTTTTATTTCAAATAAATGAAGGCATTGATTTAATAAAAGCTTTATACTGTATGGTATAATAGCTCTCCAAATGAACACTGAAATCCTAAAACAGAAACTTTTCATGTGTCCAAGTTAAATCTTTGTCACTTCTTTCGGAATGGGTTTGCTGAAGCAAGCACAGTTTATACTGCGTGTTAAAGTAAAACTACCCTGATCTCTCTAACTGGCACTTATCATTTAAGTAACCTGCTTTTACTATTATAAATATGTCTGGCATTGGGAATACGTATTAAGAATACTTGACAATTTACTAATTTATGATGTCTTCAGTTGTATTTTAATATTTTTGGCAAGCCAACCTGTGTTGATGTATTAGCCAAGCATTCAAAATGCAGACTTGAGATCTTGATTTTTTTTTCAACTTTCATCTGAACACTGAATATTTTTGACATATTTTAAATTTTAATTTTAAAAACCAGACTGGGTACCTGTGAACTGAACCCGTATGTTACATGCAAGTGCCCTTTTACTCATGACTCACTGCTCACAATTTCTTGGCTTCAGCTTTTGTTGGATTAATTCATGGATGGGTTTTGCCTGTGGTTTCTTGCCTTCCTTGCTTTTAGAGCACTATGTCCTTTTTTCCCTGTACTCCCAAAGAGTCAGGTTGTTCAGAGCATTCTTCTGTGCCACTGGTAGCGGTCTCCTTGCCATTGTCCTGATTTTCCCTTTCATTGAAAGCCATTCTTTGAGATAGGTCTGCTCATCCTGCATTTCCTGTCACGTTGCTATTGAGCCACTTAATTCTAAAGCATTTTGAAATAGTTTGCATAATTTAACCTATTTGGCAAGACTCGTTCACAGGAAAAACAGGATGTGCTCAAACCCGCCTGGATGCCACCCTGTGCCACGTGCTCTAGGTGTCCCTGCTGGAGCAGGGGGGTTGGACTAGATGATCTCTAGAGGTCCCTTCCAACCCCAACCATCTGTGACAACAGGTCATATCTCATGTGTACAATTTGGAAAGATCTGCATGGGTACAATCTGGAAAGATTTTCTCCCGATGCGCTACCTGCAGCAGTGACAGATCTCGGGAGTCCATATAACCATCTAGAAACACTGATGGCCCGTTATCCTGCGTGCGTCATCCCGGATGACCCCAAAGCGCTTCACAAGTCCAACACGTAACGTTTCCCTGGGCCATGGCCAGAGCCCTGCAGCGCTCTGTGCGGCGTGGACACGGCAGGGTCGCTGAGGGTGAGCGCTCGGCGGGGGGAATGGCCCTTGCTGCGGTCCCAGCGGAGGAATCACAGTTTCTTTTAGTTTCTGCCGCTTCCACTGAGGAAGGGGGAAAGCCCCCTGGTGGAGGGGCCTCCTTTGGGCTCTGCCAATAACAGGAGTTTTCACTGAGCTACAGTTCCTGTTATTGGCAGCTGTTGATGGTTCTCAGTGCTCGCACGGATATCCATGAGATTTTCCTGAGCACACCGCGTACTGCCAGTCCCCGCTTTAAAAGACATCGCTGCTTTGAGCCTGATGTTGTCAAGCTGTGATGCTGAATTAGGGCTTTAGGTTCCTTCCTGATGAGCATGGCCTCAGCTTCCCTTCTTGGCAGCAGCAGCAGCCTCAGTAGCAGCTTATTTTGCGGCTTACAGAAGGATAGGGAGCCAGAAGGAAGAATTACATTTCTCAGACGCAGGATTTCTCTCGATGCGACAAAGTTCAGGCCTACTCCCACACAGCTCCAACCAGTCTGCAAGGAGACCCAGATACATGCAAATGTGGCTTCTTTTGTAACTGAACCAGATTCCTGCAGTTCCAGAGCTGGATCTGCTAAGGTTCAAAGTGGGAGGTGTTAAATGGTATAAAATAATAGAAGGGGAACCCGGGAAAGAAGTCAGTGCCAAAAGAATAGTATTTGTAGGAACCAGAGGGGAAAACAAGCTAAAAAGGCAAACAAAAGGGCTGGGCGCCAAAGGGGACTGTTCTTTATTTGTAGGATGGACCTTGGCCTGTCTTCTCACCACCACTAGTTAATATAGAAGATTAACATATGAAAAACTGTTAGGAACAAACAGAGATACAGAAATGCATTTAAAAACATATCTCTAATTCTTTCAACAAGGTATCAAATGCAGACTGCTCGGAGGCCTCCAGCAACGTGCCTTGCTCGGGCTTCTGAATGCCCAGAAGGAA